GGTGGGGCGGCGGCGCGGCTCGCATTCTCCACATCGGTCCGTCTCTCTTGCCCCCGTTGTCATTCCAGCTGTCTGACCAACAACACTCTCTTTCACTCTGGTGGTCTGCTGTCTCTATCCGTCTCTCTCTCTCGCACGCGGAGCTGCTCGCGCCCCCTGGCGAGGCGAGCGCTCAGCTGTCAGGCCCCGGCCGCCGCCCCGGCCCGGGCAAACTGGGCTAGGACACTACTTGCCCGGCGCGCTGAATACGTTATGGCGACGATTAGATCCAAATGGGGATGGAGAAAAGGCAAAGTGGAGGGGGGCAGCAGACCTCTAAGCTGCGCGTCCAGAGAACGGTCGGGGAAGAAGAGAGAAATCCGCAGAGGCGGAGGCATCCTGGTTCTTATTTTGCGAGGCTCGTGACCTCTTCGCCCGTCGTCCGACCGAAGCTGGGTAGTCAACTCGGTGAGGGCAGGCGCCTACCGAACTCGTCCAACCTTGTGAAAAACGTCCACCCGAAGCGGGATAAGCAAACCGCCGAGCACCCGCGGACTTGCCAATAACGGCAGTAGAGTGAAAAACGCCCGCCAGAAGCAGGGTAGGCAACCCGCAAAGGACTCATGTCTTGCGGGCCCGCCCTCAACCTAGTGAAAAACGCCCGCCGGGAGCGGAATAGGCAACCCTTCAATCGCCCGTGCCTTGCGGGTTTGCCCAACCTCTTGACGGAAAAACCGCCCGCCCGAGGAGGTATAGGCAACCCGCTGAACATCCGTGCCTTTGCGGGCCTACGCAAACCCTTGACCCCCACAACGCCCGCCCCGAGGCAGGGTTTGGCAACCCGCCGGTCACCGATACCCCGCGGGCCTGGGCTGCCTGCCTACCTCAAGGGCGGTATGCGGGCGGAGGCCGGCCAGAGTCTGTGCCGTGTGACGGATCGGCTTTGTGCACCGCCGCTACGGCGCGCTGTTGTGCCCGGGAGCGGTGCGCGGCGCGCGTTGGCGGCAGCGAGCACCGCGGCACGTGCTCCATTTACGTGATGACAGAAGGGGCTATATTGGCGGGGCGATCAGCCGCCGCCGCCGCCTCTCGAGGCCGTGCGAACGAACGTTCCGTCTGTCTCCCTTTCTCTACTTATCGCCCCATATCGCTCGATACCCCAAGCTGATTTAAGGTTTCTGTCTGTTTGTGCAGGTATGCAGTCGGCCGAAAGATGCCAAGAAACAGCAGCCGCCAATCCTGTTGGGGGACCTGTGAGTAGTACTACAGTGCCGTGAACCGCGTAGTAAAAACAAACTTGGTGAAGCCCTTCTAAAGGGCCCTGCCTCTCCGACCTCTCCCTCTGCTCGCCTCGCTCTGTCCTCCCTCCTCTCACGGGCCGCACCGCTCCCTCTGCAAATAGAGCAGCCTTTCCGGCCGAGGTTACCGCAGGATCGGCTGACGAGAGCGAGCGCGGGCGCATTCAAATCACCCACAAAGAAACTTTCTTAAATTATTTACTTCATTTATTGTTTTTCCAAAATAAAAATTTCAAACTCAATTTTAGTTAACGATTTCAGTCGTAAATTTACTGCAGTCGACTTTTGCTCGTCTATAATGAGATCGATTGAGATTAAACAATCCGAACTTGTATCTTTTTTATTAAATATTTTCCCGTTAAACCAACGTATTGTCGTTTTTCACAGTGGATATAGCACAGCATCGCGGCCCTATCCACCACGTCTCCGCGTGTAATAAACCTTTGCGCGACGCGCCTTTACTTTGTATTTCGCTTTTATTGTTTCTCATTTCCACCGAGGGATTGTGTGTGTGTGTTAAGGGGAGGGTATACTGAAATCCTTAAAATCTAAACAAGAGGCAATTTCAAAAAAGTGGTTTATAATAGTAGTAGTACTCACTTTAAAAACTCATTTAAGCTATAGCATGTCCAAATCCATCAAAAAACTTTGCGCATAGAAGTTTTTTAACTTAAAAGTTTACGTAACTTTGAAAACTTCTGTGCGCACAGTTTTTTGGTAGACTTTTGGCATTCTATACCTTAAATTAATCCTCAAAGTGCATACTACAACAATTATAGAGTACTTTTTTGATTTTATCTCTTGTTCAGATTTTAACTTGATTAATTCATTAAATTAGATGATTTATCATTTTTTTCAGTATACTCTCCCCTTAAGTGTGACATGAAGCGAACGCTTTGCAGCCCCTCTCGCTGAGGAGGCCGCGCGGACGTGCTCGGCCTTGTACCCCTCCGTGTCACGGAGTTGGAGTACGAGATGATGTTTAACGCAATCTCTCTCTCTCTCCCCCCCCTCTCTCTCTCTCTCTCTCTCTCTCTCTCTCTCTCTTATAAATTCTCGGCATTGCATACATGTGACTTGTGTGGCCTCCGCGCAGCCTTACGGATATCTGATGCCCGGCCTCTACAATACGTCGGCCTTGCGCTCGGCTCTCCCGCGGCGGCCGGTGGCGCGACACGTCGCGCGGGCGCCGGATCGACAGTAATTAATGCAGCAACACCTGACCAGGCTGACGTCCAGCGTCGTGTCGGTGGCGGGCCGGGCACAGCGGGCCACTCCATTAGGGGCGGCAGAGAATGCGCAACAATAAAGTTTGATGCATTTCGAAGACGACATATGCTCTTGACCTACTGTGATAATGTCCTGTCGATGAATTCTTGAAGTTCGGATCTATAAGCAGAGTAAAAATAATCTTGAACTTTGGTGTTTCCATTGTTGAATGTCAACAAACTCTGTCAAGTGCAGTTTACGTTTTTGATGGGCTTCAGCCGAGCTTCGATCATCTCCTTCCGATGGCTCTAAAATCTTATGTGACATCAAATTAATTCTTCAATAGAAACCATAGTTTTAATTTATTCGTGTTTTATCAGCTAAACAGTTAAATATCGGCAAGAGATGACGCACTCTGGCCATGGCTGCTGGCTGAGGGTCTCAGTATTAGTTAAGACACTACCCCAATGCTTTCCCGCCTGCTCCCGATATGTACTCCGCCGCCTCCGTTCGGCAAGGTCGGGTCTCGTCGCGTCGGGCTCTCCCACGGACCTGGCACCACATTAGCGGCGCCTACGGAGCCTGCGCGCCGAGCCGCCCCGCGACCGACTGGATTATCATTATCGGCGCCTATAGTCGTCGTCGGCTTGTCGTTTGTTGCTCGTCATTAGTCTCCGACCAGGCGGCGGAATTGTCGTCGAACGTTCTATACCTCCCACCTCCTGCTCGTAACTCTGTCCTCGTTGATGAGCTGATATTTCTATCTTTATCACTTATTAGCGGGGCTCTTACTTGTTATTCACTATGGGACAAGCCTTTTGTCTTCAAGTTCCATCGCTCTTTTATTACAATCTATTTAGAAAAGTTAATGTTATGTCAGCTCTAAAATGCCCCGTGCACTCGAGAAATAATAACAGTGTTTTGTTTGTCTCTAAGTTACGTCGGTTGCGCCCCATTACGCACCGCTTGTGTCGTATCGGCGCCCGCTGCTGCTGTGTGTGACCGCATGATTAGCCGACATTGTTCTGTGCGGACCGTAACATCTCTCATCTCTCTTGCGCAACACCCAAAAGCGTCGAGCGGCCCGGGTGGCACGCGCACACCTCGTGAGTGTATGTGTGTGTGTGTGTCTGTGGCGCCGGTCGTGCGACGACGCTCCTTCTCGCGAGGCGTGAAAAGTAGGCCTCATCAAGGCGTCCCATTGTGGGTATCTCAGCGCGTGGATCGCGCGCCCGCCGCGTGTCTGTGCTGTGTGTCTCCGATGCCCCTCGGACCGGCTCTCGGTCGTGTGTGGAGAGGGTGAGTGTTTCCCGAAGCAGTTTGGTCGTCTCGCTTTGCCTTAAAGAGTGTCGTGAGGCTCGCGTAGAGGGTTGCGGCCATCATTGGCAGAGAACGTTGAGCCAATCACGAGACTGTAATCGCCTTAAAAGCTCCTGCAAAAATAATGCAAAGCGTGGCCCGGCTTCAGAGTGTGATGTCGATAAAAGGCTCCTCGGGTTGCAAGGCTGCAGGCAGCTATTGAGTGAGTCCGCGCCCGGCCAGGCTGCACGACCTGCTGTCAAAAGTGAACCTGTTGAAACGAAAGGGATTTCTACTATCCAATCCATCTGCATCCATCCGTTCAACCTTTACTGATTGTAACGATCTGCTCTGTTGCGTTGCCTTCTGTTTCTATCTTTGTTCACAGTCCCCGCCATTCGAATTCTGAGTTGTTACATATCTCTAATGGATAAAAAGGTTAAAATATTCCTGATGAAGATATTTATTTTGAAAATTAGTGTACAGCATTCAATGCATTAATGCTGTCGCTAGATTTGATGATGTTTTTAGCAACGTAACACACTCTTTCTTATAGACATTTTCGTTTTGAAGTCACTCAAGCTGCTTGAGCGGTCGGGAGACTTGAACGCGGGAGTGGAGACCTCTAGCAGGTAGTACGTACCACCATACCAGTCAACTGGTGGTCCAGAACACATCCTGCACTATCCCCTGCGCTTTTTTCCCGACACTGCTATGAATACTATGGGGGTCTTTTTGAGAGAGTACAGGCCATGTCGCGCTGCCGGCGGCCTGTAATGAGTGGGAGAGAGACGGAACTAGTGCAATGCGCCAAGCAGGGGGGCGAGGCATGCTCGGGCCGCCTGTCCTGCATTGCACCGCCGAGCAGCGCTTCCACGAATAACCAACACGTCTCTCTCTCTCTCTCTCTCTCTCTCTCTCTGACAGAGCGAGAGGAAAACGAGGGGGGAAGGGAGGGGAGGTACACAGTTTGCAGATAACATTGGCCGCGGGAAAGTGACACATGACAGTATCCGCGTCACTCCGTCTAATCGTAAGATCGGAGTAGATGAGATTTTTCTTTGGAGTTTCTCTTTTCCCTCCCTATTTGTTCTGGGGATAGTTTAGAACTTAAATCAGCCCCGTGCGTTTTGCCGTTACCTTCTTGTCGTGCCGCTTGGGCAGGGAGGAGACCAGGTCGAGGAGCTACAAGGCTCTGGGCAGCGATTCGCGGAAAGCTGTCTGGATCGCACGCAGCGCGGGCGGCTTGTCTTGGACCAGGACGGTGCGGGGGAGGGGCGAAGGAAGGGGGACGACAACGTGCCGGTGGTGGCACTTCGATTCGTTGAAAATGGTATTGACTTGCTCTGGATTTTAAAATAAAATAGCGGCTAGCAACTTGTTTTTATGCTGTGTGAACTCATCTGCTTGTCGGGGCGTGTTATTGCGTTCGATCAGACTGCAATCGCTGCCGGGAATGTGGACCAGGAGGGCGTCTTTCTGATCGACACGGCAGGCTTCCGTGACCAGACTTCTGCAGATGGCTGGGGGAGGAGGGGGAGCGAGGGCTCGTGCCGAGTTGGCGCAGCGTGCCTTCCCTTATTCGAGCAGCTTTACTTTCATTTCGATGTAGCGTGCTTGTTCTTAAAATAAGGCCAGTGTTGTTGTTTCCCTACTGGGAAAAGGAGACGACAGGGTCTGTTTTGTGCCTGGCTGCCTTTATGGGCTCACAACTTCTTTTTAATATAATTT